AATCCAGCACTTTTGGGGAGGCCGAGACGGGGCGGATCACAAGGTCAGGAGATCCAGGACCATCCTGGCGAACCCGGTGAAACCCTGTCTCTACTAAAAAAAAAAAAAAAATACAAAAAACTAGCCGGGCGAGGGGTGGCGGGCGCCTGTAGGTCCCAGCTACTCGGGAGGCTGAGGCAGGAGAATGGCGTGAACCCGGGAGGCGGAGCTTGCAGTGAGCTGAGATCCGGCCACTGCACTCCACGCCTGGGTGACAGAGCGAGACCCCGTCTTCGGGAAAAAAAAAAAAAAAAGAAAATCATGAAATACGTTCATCAATTTCAGTAGCTAGAGAATGGCCTTGGGAATCAAGATTTGTGAATTCTTTTTTTTTTTTTTTTTTGAGACAGAGTTTCACTTTGTTGCCCAGGCTGGAGTGCGCAGTGGCACAATCTCAGCTCACTGCAACCTCCACCTCCTAGGTTCAAGCAATTCTCCTGCCTCAGTCTCCCGTGTAGCTGGGATTACAGGCGCTTGCCAACACACCTGGCTAATTTTTGTATTTCTAGTAGAGATGGGATTTTGCCATGTTGGCCAGGCTGGTCTCGAACTCCTGACCTCAGGTGATTCAGTCTCCTCAGCCTCCCAAAGTGCTGAGATTACAGGCATAAGCCACTGTGACCGGCCAAGACTTGTGAATTCTAATTCTAGGTCCTATATCAGTGGATGACTCTTAACTATTTAAGTGGAAGAATTAACCATTTCACGAGGTTTCTATTAGGATGGAGAATGGAAGAGGATGAGGCCTTTGTAAGTAAGTTTGTAAGGCATATGGTGATGGGATAAAGGCAGCACAAAAAAGAAAGAATTAAATACCCCAAGTGCTTCTGAAAGGAAGAGTTACAGAAATACTTTCACAAGATGAGGACTATTAGCGCCAATTAGTGAAAATTATATGAGGACTACATAATTACAAAGGATCTACCCAAAAGTAACAAATCTATAGCCTCCAGTTTAGTAATCATCTACAAGTAACATCAACAAGAAAAAGATAGAAAAAAAAGAACTTGAATTCAACTACAGAAAGAACTTAGACACTATTGAGAAACCATTCCAAAACCATACAACTGCAAAAAGTTACCTTAGTTCAAGACTTGAAATGAAGAAACACAGAGAAAGTTTTTTTTTTTTTTTTTCTTTTTTCCTCAATAAGGAAACAAAATCTCTTTCTCTCAGGTTCTAAAGACATTCAAGAAGGGCCATCCCAGTAAGATGTGTGAGGCTTTCCTGCTACTATCCATAAACTCTTCCAAGTACAAGTAACTCAGAACAAATGCACCCCAATGTTACTGGGAAACACCATCACACCATGCACAGACTAAACAGGACTGCTACCACCACACAGCTGGCAACCTGGGCCAACAGCTTCTACCCTAGGCACCACTGGATCACTATACCCTGCATTCCGTGGGAGGAACAGCACTGTGGTTCTCCTTGCCCTATCTGTTCCACTATAAATGATGGATCTGGGGAATGTGAGGTCACAATAAATAAGACTGGAGAAGAAGAGATATGTACCCAATATTTAATCAACAACTTGGCTCAGAAACCCACAGGGCATTTTATCAATCAACCTGGAACTGGTTTTTAAAAGATACCTCTGGGATCATAAGCTCCGAACTCAAACTCTTTAGGTTGACTCACTGCCATTTTCAGGCCACCCAAAACTCTTCCAGACCTACTTCTGGAGTCTACTCCACACAGTTTTATCCACTTCATTCCAAACTACCCATGAAGCAGTTTTTTTGTTTTCTTGTTTTGTTTTTTTTTTCCCTGAAAATTTCATCTTGCCACACCAAACTCAAATAATCCTGTGTCACAGATTCTAATCACTCCACAGACCCACTTCTAACACTCCACTGGAGTATTGGTGATAGGAGCTCCATTCTAAACTCTGCCCTGCTTGTTCCAGATACAGGAAAGCAATTCCATAAGGACTATATTGGTACTTAGGGTCTTTGTGTCCCAAAACAGAATAAAAATCTCTCCTTTGGACACAAGGGAACACTATTCAGTGGCTTCACCTGAGCATTTCACATTTCATTCCTGATGAGCATTAGAGGGAATGGAAAGTGATATGGTACAGTACCAACTTTTTACACAAAAACTTCCTGGGGACCCTCAAGAGATAATAGAAGCTGATTTTTCTCCCACAACAAACCTCAGCATTACAATTGCTATTACTTTAAGTATTCCATCACATTGTGAAACACACACACACACCCCATTTGGTTGTGACCCCTTCTCCCCCAAAACCAGAAAAGCCATTAACCCAAAAATTATCTTACCCTCTCTCTCTCTTCCTCCTGCCGTCTTATTCCTTCTCCTTTCCAGGGCTCCTGAACTTTCTGTAAACAAATTGTCTAGGTTACAGGGGCCAGGCAGGGTGCAGCCAACACAGAACTGTGGAGAACCTCAGGAATTATTTGTCAGCAGTCAGTCTGGAAGGCAGGCAGACCCCCCAACCAGCAATCCAAACATGGGTGGATATAATAACAGGAGTGTAGTGCAACCCTCTATGTGGATACGAGAGAAATAAATCCAATTCCCAGAAACTAAGACGAACTCTTATCACCAGGGTGTGGATTCCACTCCTAGGCTCAGAGACTGGTCCTCGTTCGTTCCCAGGCCACAGGTAACCAGGGGTCAGAGAACAGAAGAGATGGAGGAGGAGGAGGGTCTCTGCCCCAGAGGAGTGGCTTCAGAAGGCAAAGCTGAGGGCTGGGGGATGCACAAGCCCTTGTGTCAGGCACAGTGCCAGTTCAGGCCCAGTCACTTCCTCTAGCCTTCCCCCCACTTCTTCGAGGACTTCGCCCCCTGCCTACCCAAGGCCTTGTGCCAAGAAGTACCTCCCACAGCCTGCACCGTGGTCTATCTACTGGAGACCCCAGCTGTCCCCCCAAAACCTTCGCTCCCCTGAGACAGTTCCTGGGAGCCTTCTCCTGATGTCGTCCCCTACCCCTTTCTCAAAGACCCTTCCTTGGGACGTCCCTCCTTCCCCTCCAGGGAGCTGAACTCTGCCACCCACCAGACAGGCACCCGCCCCCTAAACCCCCCCATTCCTCCCCATCGCCCGCTCCTCCACAACCACTTCCGGTTCCGGGACGGACACCCCACACACACACACACACACACACAGAGTCACATCGTGGACCCCCCCTTCCCCGCCCGCCCAGGGAAAAGGGGAGGGGGAGGAGCAGGGAGCTTGGCGCGCGCCGGCTGCAGCGGCGCGAGACTCACCCGGCGGCGACGGCTGCGGCGGCGCCAGAGCCTGAGCCAGAGCGCGGGAGGGGCGGCGTTTGCTGGGAAAGGAGGGAGCCGAGTGGGGTGGGAGGACCAGGAGGGGGCGAGGGAGGGGAGAAAGCGCGAGGCGCAGCGCGCGGGCACGCACTTCTGGCGCGAGACAGACCCACACACTCACACGCAGGGAACGCGCGCGAGACACCCGCAGGGCGGGGGCGCGAGGCAGTGGGTGGCCCCCCGCCCTGCCGCCCTCCCCTTGCACTCACCCGGAAGTGGTGCTGCAGCTCGTGCTCCCGCGAACCCCAATTCCTCCACGCCCCCCTCCCTCCCTCCCCCCAACAGGCTCAGAGAAGAGCTCTGCGGAGAGAAGGCGGGAGCGCCGGAAACGAAAAGGGGGGAGGGAGGGAAATAGCAATGCAGGGGGGGCGCTAATGGAGAAAGAGGGGCGTGCAAAAGCCGAGTCACTTCCGGGAGTGGCTGGAACACATCCGGCGCCGCTAGTCTGCGAGATATTCAGGGCAGAAGTTACGGTAACTCGGGGCGGAAGTAGCTTCTGCCCAGCGACCGGGTAGAGGGGATGTGACGCTATAGCGGAAGTGAAGGCGGGTTCCGCTAAGGGCAAAAGCTGAAACCGGAGGATTGCGGCCCTCGGCTTCCGGAAGGGACTTCTGGGGAAGTTGGGGGCCGGGGGTGGGGGAGTGGAAACGCGACAGGTTCATCAATTATCCATCAAGGTAGGAGAGGAGGTGTGGGTTCTTCAGATGCTAGGACTCCGTTTCTCTTCCCTCTGGGTGGAATAAGCTGATGTAGGAAATTACCATTATTTTTTCTGATACCCCCAAGAATGTCTCAATGCTTTGAATATGCGGGAAAGGACTAGGACATGTCTATATTTTTCTGAGGTCCCTACTTAGGTCCAGTTAGAACCTCTCCCAGCCATCAAAATCTCCCTCTCTGACACTCCCTTACTCTCTTTACTTTGGTCTTTTCTTGTTGCCCATACCCACATCTCTATCCCCTTACCTTCTTTTACTTTTAAATATAGCACTCATTATTGCCTGATTGTTTGCTGTCCACCTCTCCCCACTAAAATATCGGCTATAGGACAGCAAGGACCGAATTGTTCGTTGCTGTATCCTCACATCGTGGCAGTTAAGTGGTCTGTAAACTCTTGTATAAATGTACTGTAGTTCATTATGAATCCCCAATATGAATCCTTTCAGGAAGCCTTCCCTGATTGCTCCACCCTGTAATGATCCCCTGAATTCCCATAGCATTTAATACGTACCTTTTATTGATATTTTAACTATTTCATACATGTGATTCCCCAGCAAGATTGTCAGCTCTTCGTGGAAGGAAATACGTTGCTTTGCTAAGCACGTAGTCAATGCTGAATATGTTGTTTGAATAAGTGAATGCTGTTACAAGCGTGCACCCTGACTTGGCCAGAATCCCTCTGGGCTCAGCTCTAAGCAGAACTGAGGTATCTCTACTAACGGTAAGAGCCCCTTGCTGAGAAAAATAATTTTTTTTTTTTTTTTTAAGAGAGTCTCACCCTATCACCCAGGCTGGATTGCATTGCTGCCATCTCAGTTCACTGCAACCTCTGCCTCCTGGGTTCAAGCGATTCTCCTGCCTCAGCCTCCCGAGCAGCTGGGATGACAGTCGCCCATCACCACGCCTGGCTAATTTTTTTTATCTTTAGTGGAGACGGGGTTTCACCATATTGGCCAGGCTGGTCTCGAACTCCTTACCTCAACTGATCTACCCGCCTCGGCCTCCCAAAGTGCTGGGATTACAGGCATGAGCCACCACGTGCAGCAAAAAATAACTTTAACAGAAATAATTATAATGCCCATTTTACAAATGATGAAAATTATCCTCTAAAGGTTCAAGTGATTTTTTTCCCCCAAGGTCAAAGCAAGAAGGTAACAAAGTACACCTTTAAATATTTAAATGTTTAAATAGATGATGCATTTCTTTGTAATTGTAGTTTGTATCTTTTTTAAAGTGTCTGTTCCCTTTATCACATTTTTGGGCTCAGCACTCAGTCTCTGTTGATGTAGAGTAAGGATTTTAAGGGCTCAGATGTGACCAGACCTATTGCTGTGTGGGTCAGAGATTGCTGATTCAAGAAACCTTGACATCAGGGGCTGGTATTGAAAGGTGGAAACAGGAAATCGTAGTAATAGCTATACGTCCTGGTTCTCCTCCTGCTCTTTTCCTATTTACGTTAACTGGGCACTTCCTAGGCCTCAGTGTCTCCGTCAGCCCTGTTCTTGCCCTTGCTATAAGAAGGAAGTTTCCCAGCTACTTGGAAGGTTGAGACAGGAGAATCACTTGAACCTGGGAGGCAGAGGTCGCGGTGAGCCAAGATCATGCCATTGCACTCCAGCCTGGGCAACAAGAACTGAACTCCATCTCAAAAAAAAAAAAAAAACACCTCCAATAGCAGTTACTTTCTCCAGTGCATTTCCTGTGACTTGATTTATCTGAGTTTTGATCCGGGCCACTGCACTCCAGCCTGGGCGACAGAGCAAGACTCCCATCTCAAAAAAAAAAAAAAAAAAAAGCAAGTTTCAAGTGCTCTGAACTCCTTAGGGAAAAGCTTTAGAACAATAAATGTGGGGCGTAGGGGGAGGAGGGCTGTTAATTTTAGCCTGGGGTTCTCCAGCTGGCATACTGTTCCCATCTTGAATCACTTCCACACCCTGAGCTGTGCCTGGGAGATCCCTCCCTCCTCCTGGGGGCTTCCCCATTCCCTGGTTTGGTCTGAGCCACAATGGCAAGCATTCCAGAAAAATGCTAAGAGAAGCCTGGCTGAGTCATTTGATGCACAGCTCAGGAGGCAAAGAAAGGATGGTGATGAGAGACACTGGTTCCAGTGGTGCCTGTGATGTGTGACCTCGAAGAACCTTCCAGTTCCCAAAAGGGCAGCATGGCCATTGTTTTGTTCTTGGTTAGCGACTCTGCTGCAGGTTTCTGAGGACCTCCCAAAGCCCCACAGTCTCTGTTTCAACTACAGGAGAGAGAAAAGTTAGGGTTTGTTCCTCAGGGCCTCATGACTCTTCATGGCTAACATGACAGTGCAATATCGTTTGGGAGAATTATTTTAGTACAGTTCAGTGTCTGGAACAGTCTCCTTCCTCCTCTGTCTCTCCTGCCATCTGACTTTCCATGGGGAAAGGAGGACATTTAGGGAGAGGGAACAGGTGAGGATTTCCAGTATCTTGCTGGTGTATTTTAATTTATTTAAATTTAGAGAAACAGTGGTCTAATCAGGCAGTAATTAATTCCCTCTTCATTAGGGGCCTTCATGTGTGCCTTTTGCATATGGATGAGCCACGGGTCACACTGTCCCTTTGAAGAGAGATCCTTGCTGAAGGTGAGAGCCCAGTGTGCTCTCCGGCACTTGAGCTCCTTCCCCTTCTGTGCCAATGCTTCTCTTTTCTCCCCACCCTCACCTGACAAGGACTAGATTCCTGTGGGGAAAGAAGGAAAGGTTAATGAAGCTTCCTATCCCACCCTCCTTGGATCTGGATCCCTCCCTCACGGCCCACAGCATGTACCATCCATGCCTCATCCTGTACCCTCAGGTTTCATCCAGCCCGCTCCCTCCCATCAGCCGCCTGCTGGGATATCTTCATGCCCCAATGAGTTGACTCCTCAGAAGCTTGTTTGCCTGGCACCTCTGCTTTGAGTTGGTTCATCAATCCTTGGCCCCGCTCTGCTTCTTTCCTCTGTAGCAGTCCTTTCCTTAGGGAGTGTGACGCCCTGAATGCACACACTGCTGTAGTCCTGACAGATACGCTGCCTCCTCCTGGCACTCACCATTCTGTGCTGCACAGGCTCAGCTCCACTTCCCTCAGCTCACAGTACAGCTCCCAACACCTAAAGCACACAGCTGCCAACACAGACATTCCTAGCCTGGCTTGAAAGATAAACGCATGGGGCGTATCCAGTCTAGGGCAGCCCGGGCCACCCTTTTGTACACTACAACATCCCTGTCCTCCCTGAGGCCACCCCATTTCCAGGGAGCAAGTGGGGCACAGATTGGGGGAGGGGGGAGAGATGGGACCTGGGTGGTTACCATAGCAATAGAGCCTAGCAACAGCTGAGAGGCTGATGTGTGGGTTTTCACAGGGGCTGTTACAAGAGCCAAACCTAGAACTGGGGACTCAGAGGTGACTGATCTCAACTGGGCAGCCTGCATTCCCTCCCCAAACACACCCCTTGATCCCACCCCCACACCCCTGCAGTGCCTCTCTCTGAGAGGGCAGAGTAGGGAAAGCTAATGAGTTAACCACAGGGCTTCTGATTCTGCACAGCTTTTGGGGGGCAGCTGTGGGTGGGGGCAGGTTAGGGAGCAAAGCTGAAAATAAACCAAGCAGGGCAGCTTCTTTCAGATGGCTCCCGCTCATCTTTTCTCCATTGCTCCATTTTTCTCTTCTCTTTTCCCCATTCTCCCTCCATCTGTCTTATCAGCTCTCTCTTCCACCTTGATCCACCTCCTATCCTTCCATGTAACTTTCCTTTTCTTCTGTCTCCCTTCTTTTGGTCTTTCTTGACCCTCCCTGGCAAGGAACAAGTGAGCCACGATTTCTATTCTAGTTTCTCTTGTGCGACTGCCCATCAGGACGGCTCCCTTCCATTTTGTCCCGAGTTAAAGCCCCAGTTGGCCCCCAGCTCCAGGTCAGAGGAGGGCAGGTGACTTAGGTCTAGAGGGGGTCCCCACCTCATCCTGTACCTCCTCCTGGCTGTCCACCCCCTCTACTCCTCTCTATGGGGGTCAGAAGGCAGAACCAGGGGACTTGAGTATCTTGCAAAGGCTTTATTTGAAAATTTTGAAACTTACATCCCACAGTAATTCAAGATGATCAACCACAAGAAGAAGGAGATAATACAAAAATATATATCACAGCATAGGAGCCAGGGAAGAGGGGAAGGA